CTTCGGAGTCGATCCATAACTTCTTGAAAAGACTGGTCTCAGCGCCCATTCGGACAGTCGATGGCTGCGGGAGTGTCACCACAAGTGTCACCACAACTGGTCTCGCAATCACTCATTCACTGCAACACAACACTAGGCATCAGATGTGTTGACAAACATTGAGAGCCAATGCAATGCATGTGTCGACCAATAAGCGCACGGCTCGCACCTCAACCGTGAGTCGAGTGCTCCCATTGGACGCAATGTGTGCGCACTATTCGCACACAAATACAATGCAATGAATTGGCGTTCGATTTGCTGTGCATTTACTGTCCATTGAATGGTCGCAACGATTCACTCATTGAGTCATTCATAGAGTGATTGCTTGTAAGCACTGATTGTCTGATTGTGTGACGCATTCACTCATTGGCACTGAAATGATGGCAACACTCGTGAAGACAGACATCAACACAGAGGTGAGTCATAGCACTGACCACTACCTCCACAGCCAGTGATGACACCACTGATTGTCTCCCAGACGAAGGTGGAGCTGTTCCCGGCTGTGGTGACATCGGAGCAGATGTCCCTGAACTACATGAAGCGCTTGACAGCGGTGGCCATCAGTAATATCCTGTATCTGCGGAATGTGTTCACCGAAGAGTGCTATGGACACCGAAAACTGGACTCAATTAAGCTGAGGATTCTGACCGAAAAGTGTCAGACAGTGGGCGCCAAACAGATCGTCAATTGGGTGAAGGGTTTGTGTCCAACGCTTGTGTCACTGCATGAGTGGATCCACTGACCCATTGTATGACTCATTGAATGATAGGTTGTTTCGACGCCATGGAGAAGAAGTACTTAAAACAACTGACTTTAGGTATATTCACGGATCCCATGAATCCCGAAGAACTCATCGAAGCCTATACTCTGCGCTTCACTTACGACGCGAATCGCGTCAATTGTGACCTCTCTTTGTATGAACGCATGTCTTCGGTGACACCGTTGCCACCAATTGTCTGAACCACTGACCACTGTATGTCTCACACCCGCCAACAGGTCGTCCAACGCGAGTGCGAGTGAGCGCCAGGCGTGGGAACAGATGGTGAACAACGGGTTGCGACAGTCGACGACCCAATTGTTGCGATCGATCATAATTATGGTGCAAAGCCTCGACAGACTGCCCGCCGACTGCTTCCTAACGATGAAACTCTTGTATTACGACGACATCACTCCCGAGGACTACGAGCCGCCGGGCTTTGAGGCGGCCGACAATGACTCGTTCACTTTCAGAGGCAAACCCATTAGCATCAGCGCCGGTCAAGTCGTCACACCCTTTCACTCACTCAAAGTGAAGATCCGCACGAATCAGGAACAGTTCCAAGACTTCGCGTCGTCACCCGATTCAGAGACTCATGAGTCGCGGTATAAGAGCCAAGAGTTGGCCGATGAGTGCCACGACTGCACGCCTCTGGCCATCGATGAGGACATCGCCGATGAGAACCAATGCGTGCCTCACAATAGAGACAAATGCGGCAACAGATCCACGACTGATGCGTCCAAACTGTCCGACAAATCGGTGGC